CCGATGGAAAATCTAAACAATCTTTCATTTTTATGCAAGGTTGTTCTAACCCCATCGGATCTCATCTGTGTTTCTTTTCTATTAGAATGTTCTATTATATAACACTAAACTTTTTTTTTTTGTATATTTAACTAGTACAATACATTTTAACATTCTAATGAAAACCTTGAATCTAATTGGAAACACAAAACTTAGAAGCCAGAAGTCTCCCAAGTGTAGATTTAAGGCCATCCACATCAGTTCCCTTGCAAGAAGTCATTTGCAACTCAGAGCATAGAACCAAAACTGTGTATGAGTCCAGACATTTGAGAATCGCCGGGTCTCTCTGATAATCCTAATTTCCCAAAAACGAAGTAATGAAGTTAGATTCATGTCTCTGCAATTGAAACTTAATAACATCCAGAAAGTAATAAGAAGAAACAGAAACTTGTATTCACCTTTTCGGTTACCACAATGATAGGTTTGGAATTAGATTTGTTCTCTAGCCCCTTTGCTCTCCTCCTCATAATTTCGACATCCTGCACTTGTCAATATGATATCGATTAAAACCGCTTTGAACGAGTGAATATAATCTCGGTATATCCACTTTTTTTTGGCACTGAAACAAATTGGGAATAGGAATAACATAAATAGCTGCGAGAGTAGCATCGTACCTGTGCGTCAAATAAATGATGATCACTGAAATCAAGTCTATGAACATAATGTGCTCCAGTCTGTTAAATGTGTATAAACAATTACTTACCAGAGCAAAAAATTGAAATCTTTGGTACAAAATCCTGTGAGCAATAAAAATACAAATAGCACGAAAAAACTTACCATCCTGATGCTCTTGACAAATGCATCAGCTGATCCAATTGCGGAAACACATAGCACATTTGCATCGGATAGTGCTTCCAAAGGTACATGTGACCTAGCATTTTTAACATCGAACAAGTATTTGGGCACCATCTTGGAGTAGAAAATCGGGATCGACTTCTTGAATCTATGTATCGTGTTTTCAATGTCTCTAAGGCTTTGTTCACTTATCTGCATGATAAAAAACCACTAACCTTAATTGTCACCATCAAAAGAAAGGGAAAGAAAACGGAAACAGATTTGTTAACGTACCAAGTCCACATGGTGTACTACAGCAATATCTGCCCGCTCAAGCGCTGCAAGAGGCTCCCGTAATGGACCAAGGGGAACTAAATTACCATTTCCCCACGGATCCAGCCCGTTAAGCATCACAATCTCAAGGTCACGATACAAACTCCAGTGCTATCTACCAAACAAGAGAGCAAGTCTTGAAAAGTCCAATACACAAAAGAAGGTGAAACTATCATATTCTTTTTCGCCATTATAACATGTACACCATAAAGCTACTATTTGTATAATATAAGCTGTAGAATATACCTGCATCCCATCATCTAGAATGACAGAACCAAGTTTTTGTGAATTGGTCTTGGCTTCTTCTCTTTCATGAAGAAAAGATTGATCAAGAAATTTCCTTATACAAGAAGGATTTGCAGAGCCATACTTTTCGAAAAACGAAGCAGCAGTAGCTGCCCTGTTTGCTCCAACACCAATCTTTGTCAGTCCACCTTGAAGATGTGTTTCAAGCATTTTGGCTTCATCTCCACCAGCATAACCCTGCAGTGAATGATCTCATATAATCATTTGTCTTGGCTAATGGCAGTTCACAAAGCAAAAAAAACACTCCAATTTCAATGGTAAATAGTATTATCTTCAATTGCAATAAGAGTTTACACGAGTGAGAATAAGCGGTGAGATTCCAGAATCGACGAGGAATTGCGAAACGTATTCCACCATTGGAGTCTTCCCATTCCCTCCCCAGCTCAGGTTCCCAACGCTGATCACCGGAACTGGCAATCTTCACCAGACACCAGATTGTATTACACATTCAATCGTATAATCACCGACAAAAAAACACATTCAATTGGTCGTCGGAAAAAACTCACCGGTGTTGCTGGAAGAAGGAGGAGCGGTAGAGAGAGCGGCGGATTTGAAGAGCGACTCCGTAGAGAGAAGAAGCGACTTTAAGAAAGGGAACGAGAGATCGGTGAAGTGCAGGGGAATTAGTGTGGTCTCGCGTGTAGGCGATTTCGTTCACCACCTTCCTCAGCTTCTCCATGGACGCCCAACAGAGAGTAGCTAAACCGGAGCTGTTCTTCAACATGTTTTCGTGGCTTCTCCGACCAAGTCAATTTACAATGTCCGGTTGAACCGTTTTTAGTTGAATCTGTCTTCCGGTTTACCCACTTGTTTTGTTATATTAAAAACAAAAAAAACAAAAACCGATCTTACGAAGGTTCATACCCATTGTTATTGGAACTTTGCCAAAATAAGACACTCATGGAACAAATACAGACTTATTATAGAGAGACAATGAATTTCATGATAATCTCGGACCAAATTAGATAACAAATAAATATCTCTTTCGATTTGCATCTTTAGAAAATTGAAAAAATACAAGATTTCGAAAGAAAACGATTACAAACAATTCAACAGAAAACTTCAAGAACTGAGATAGTAGACGACGATTCAAATTAACCCTTTTAAAGTCTCGTGGTCTTGGTTCTTCGTAGAACACAAACACCACCTTCACAGATGTAATCTCGAGATCCAGAGGAGTTTTTTGTGAAACAGCTGAAGATATTCGAGAAGAAACCCATCAGTCTCTTTGGTTCCACAGACAAAACTTTCTATCACATACAACATTTGCATACGTTGTCTGATATTATATAATTATATAGAAAGATAGAAAACTTTAATGTTTCATCAATCACAATTCACAAGTGGAGATATGAAGAAGTCAATGGTGGTGTCCTAAACAAACAGAATCTTATCATTTTTTTAAAAGAATGAGCTTTAAACACGTTGCTAATATGATCATGGACCACTAATAAGTCTTCCTACCAAAAACACGTTGTTAATTGAATTTGTTGGTTGCAGTGTAACCATTAAAATAAAGACAACATAAAGATGTGAAAGGTCCTTTATGAAAGAAAAGCTAGAGTTTTTGCAGTATCATACCTGATCAGTCTATGGAAGGAAACAATCTTTAGTTCTTCGCCTTCTTCTTTGGTTGTCGTTTGTTTTTAGACTTCTTAAACCCGCCTCCGGTTTCCTGTGGACAATACAGTTCTATGAATTAGTTAACAGAGAGGATTTCTGTCTAACAATATTAGAAATTATCAGCCAGATTCCGTAAATCTGACCTTTTTGTAACATCTATATGCACTTTGACCTGAGAACTCTTGTCCGCTTTTAGAGATATAAACCTACAAGAGTATCAAGATATATCAGCGACCAGAATAATTCCCCACGCTTAAACGTGCGTGCGTGTGTGTTTAAGACCTTAGTTCCAGTCACGATCACTATTCTACATTGTGGAAACAGAAACAAACCTTTCTCCCTTCTGAGGATGTGAACCAGTGACCTGCAGAAGCACTGTCAGCAGCTGATACACGCCTTTTCCCAGCATCCTTTGGAGCTGCAGATGTCGCTTTAGGATTTAACCAGCCTTCAGAAGCGTGTGCGTTCTCTTTGCCCTTTGGAACCTTTGATTTTGCTTGCCTTCTTCTGCAGCTTTTGCTGCTAGAGCCTCCAGTTTTAGAACTCGCTTTGCTGCCAAATTGGTTCCTACAATTGGAAATGGAAAGATATGTCAATGACACCCTGGATACAGAAGTATCAAAATAAGAAAGGGATTAGGAGTAACCCACATATAATCAACAAGGGAAGCCTCTCCTCGTCTCTCTCTATCATTAACAATTCCCAGAGGCAAGAAGTTTGGTAAACGCTGTCGAGCTAAATTCCGTATCCTTGGATCACTGTGCAAGAAGAAACGATGAGATGGAGGAGAAGGTTGGGAAAGATCCAAGAATTCCCCAGTTTGCTGAAAGCTAGCCAATCCACTATTGCTACTACTTGCAACAGCACTGTTCTGTCTCTGGGCTGTGCTACTCGTCTTGATTGAGCTAAAATAGTCGTGACAAAGATCATCAAAAGCTGGTGTTTGAATCTTGGAAACTACCGGGGAAAAATCTTTCCACAGATCTCCATTGCTTGGCATAGATCCAGACTCCTTTCTCTTTGGTTTACTTGCATTACATGAATCATTTGTTTTAGTTACTCCGCTTAAATCTCTACCGGTGGATGGGTGGTCATCTTCAGAATCCGAATCTAGTAGCTGGAACCTTCGTAGAGGACTACGAGTTAAACTTTGAAACAATGATGCAACAGAACTAATCCCAGAGGCAGCAGATGCTGGAACATCCAACTTCTTTCTTTTCCCCTGAGAGGTAGAAGGCTTATTAGAGAAAACCCCGGAACCATGAAGTGGTACCCTTGAACTGCAACTAGAGAAATGACTTCTTGTTGAGGCAGGTGCATCTGCACGTAGCAACACAAGTGGTATATCAAGATGAAACCAACAAAATGTGGAAGAACTAAAATATCACAAGGACTCGAGAGAATTTTGTTAAGTCTCTATCCACAAAGGAAATAGTTTGATTGGTCATGCAATCAACCCCATAATCCGTAGTAGTCAACATCAACAAAACGACAACTATATAATCTCCAAGGACCTTGCCACCGGAATGAAACTTAATCATGGTAACTAATGTCCTTGTAAATGCCAAACTATCAGCTTGGAAGCTCCAAACCAACTCTACCTACCAGTGTCAATAAATGCAATAAGTTTTCATCTTTTGAGCAAAATCAACCTGATTCTGATAGCTAAGGAGGCAAAAAGGTTTGCGTCAGCTTCCTAAACTCATCAGTTTTGTAGTACAGCTATGTAATATCAATGGATTTCCGATCCAAGAAGCCAAAGTTTCAAGCCTTTTTCCCGACAAAATTCAATTCGAACATGAACCCAAAAGTGAAAAGGCTAATTACTTCATTGACGTAACAGTGCTCGGAAGTCGAAATTCAATTCCATCAGTTAAGTAAGAACCCATTTCACACAGGTACATGTATGATACGGAAAGAGAAAGCAAATCTCAAAAATGTAATTACCATTGGGAAAATCTTCTGGAGAAGAGAACTCCTCGATGTCATCATCCCGATCATCCTTGCAATCTAACACCGCACTGGCCACACCCACGCCTCTATCATCTTTCGCAGAACACTTCTCGGTGTTAATTCCCCGGCGCAACCGCTTGAGAACCGGCGGGCTTGAAAATCCTGGTTCAAACTCCCGATCGGAATCTGAGACCGTAATTCCCGGCTCTTGCTCGTCGTAGCCGGAGGAGCTAGGGTTCTTCTGATAAGAACCCGATTGCGGGGGATCCGATGCAGCATCGAGATCAAACCCTAGGGAAAACGATGGTGGCTCAATTGAATCCATGAGATGGAATTAGGGATTTGGGATTTGGGGAGGAAGAGAAAGAAGAGACTTCTTCAAAAGACATGGAATTGGCGCCTTTGGTGTGCCAAACAAGCTTGAATTTTTCGTGAAATTTCCCCGCCTCGCGAACAATCATTTGAAAAAAAATTCAATCAAAGTGACTGATATTATTAATCTCGTCGAAATCAATTATTACGGGTCGCAAGATAAAATATTAGAAAAACGGACTACAAATATAAAACGAAAAATTATAATGGGCCGTGAACATTTCCAAATTTGGATTAGAGCCCATAATTTAATTTGGTGAGCGGTTTGCTAACCACGCCCATCTACTCTATACAGTTCATATGCGTTAAGAGTTAATTTTAACATTTTTATAAATATAAATTGAAGATAAGGAA